ATTTATTAAATGAGCGATCGTTTTGCTTGATAAGACCCTTATTCATCGTCTGGAATCATTTAAAGCCCTTTGAGCAGTTTGCACTGAAACTGTCTTTTGGACCTTGAATCGTTTGGTTCCCATTGAAGTCTATTATATGGAGAAAAATCCTGGAATGTTTTGATCAAAAACCTTAATTTCTTTTCGACCGAAGAAAGAAAGAAAGACATGGACATCTTGGATGACATGGGGGTGAGTAAATTATCAGCAAAAGGTTTTTTTTAGAAGTGAACTACTCCTTTAAACTCTCTGTGCACTTACAAAGTGCTCAACGTGTGTAGTCCTCATTGTGTTACAGTATTAGTGTTGGGCTATTTTGAGCTTTGTTAGTGGAATTAACAAGCAATTTTTATTTTTACTTACTCTATGCCCTCTATACTAGCGTTATTCGCTAAACAGATAAAACTCTTTACATTCGATTATTATGAAAACAAATCTCAGAGAACGGTTGACTAGGTACCAATGTGTTATTAGACCAAATTCATTTTGCTCCGGCGTTGTTCTTCAACAGTCTATGATTAGATAGTTATTGCAGTGATTATTATGTTTCTAGCATGTTATATGTTCAGCAACAGTTCTTCTAACCCTAATTGATGGAGTGTGTAGCTTTCCATTTCTTAAACAACCATGTAAGAAGACACAACATGGCCATATTCCAGGATTCCAGGCCAATGTCAAGATTCATCACGCTCAGATCGTGGAAAAATGGTTGTGAAGGAGCTTGAAGAATCATTTTCACACATGAATTGGCACCTCTGAGACCTTAAATTCATCGAAAGTGTTTAAGATGTGCTGGATCTTGCATTGACAATACAAGATCTTAACCAGTTTTGGTCATTTGCCGATTTAATTCCAAACAGCCACTTTCCCCCCTTGTTTCGGGCAGTGTATTTTACAATATAATGGTGTCTTTGATCAAATAAATGTTTGGTGAGCAGAAGAGTAGTGTACATGTATTTTATGCATGAAGTCACTAACACCTTAACAGCCAATTTTTTTAATCTATGACACGTCTTCATGTATAAATGCCTGACAACATGAAGAGCTACTGTATTAAACTTCAACGTAAACGTTGCAGAGCAAGATTATCTCTTGCGAGCCTGATGAGATGAATTGGTTGAAAGCAGATCTGTGAATTGTGATGACAATTGTCTCAATAAGGGCAACTGGTAATTGGAGAAATGTATTAATCATTGAAAGCGCTAGGGATGTTTTGCAGCATGTGGAGGAAGCTTCTCCTTGGCAACACTAGGCTATGTTTAGGCAGTGTGTGCCAGTGTTTGTCCTAGTGATGGTTGATTGATTTGGGTCTCACTGAAAGCAAACAAGACTGTTTTTATCCAGAATATGCATCGACGGATGATTAAGTGCTTGTTTTGATGTCATAAGAGGATATAGCAACTGACCAAATTAGCAGACTTCAAGACCACATATGTGAAGTTCTCTCTCAGAGCTCTTCTTAATGATATCCTCTGTGTACATTTATGTCAAAAATAATGCGCATGCGAAGAATTCGGTGGCCGAATCATGTGAGAACGAGAACATTTAAGCTGCAAAAGGTGCAATTATTGTAAGACTTCTAGCTGATTGGCTTCGGACAGAAATTGTACAACTTTCAAGTGCAGGAAAGGGTTTTTTTTTTTTTTTTTTTTTTTTTAAACCCCAGATATCAAAAGTGGCAGGAATTATAGTTTTCACCATGGCAACAACAGTGGAGAGCTTTCATTAGGCCCCAGACAGCTGAGGGAGTTACTTAAATAAGAGAAAATGTGCATTTGTGTCTCAGTAATCACGGAGAACACGGAGCACCTCAAAACTGTGGCTGTGGGTTTCAAGCAGTGGTGATTAGAATAACCTTTAACAGGCTCTTAGACTGAAACTCTTGAAATAATGAGCTTTATTACTGTATTATCCTGGTGCTTAGAAAACTGCATCTCAGATTCTCTTCTTTCAAGCAGTCTTTTTAAGCAGATGTCTTGGATGTTCTTGATGTCCAATATCTTTTTTTTTTTTTTTTTGGTAATAACCTGTTTTTTTTTTTTTTGTTTAGTTGGTGCGATGATAACCACAGCTGTTGAGTGTTAAAAAGAAGTGGTGGGGAAAATGAGTTTTCTCAGTAACAATTTGAAGCCTTGGATGGTGTTTCTTCCAAATTGTGGCGTGTTTCACAATCTGGCATTAGAGTTAAGCCGAGTGAAGAGACAACGTCTGTCTGATTTGGTTAACATGGGGTCTTGAGATGGGATTCTCTGAAGAGATTCAAATAAATCAGACTTTGATTTATTGGACATCATTGATTCTGCTAAATTATTTCTTTCTTAATGTTTAAATTATGTGGGAAAGACGAGATATCAGATGTGAGAACAGATCAGACCCATTCAATAAAAATAGATCTCTCAGTCCTTCACACTGTAAAACATCATATGGTCAATAAGTTATGACAACATATGTTTTTATATTGCTTTAACTCATAAGTTAAAGGAGTAGTTCACTTTTAACTACTTTGTCTTTCTTTCAGTCGAAAAGAAATTTAGGTTTTTGATGAAAACATTCCAGGATTTTTCTCTATATAATGGACTTCAATGGGAACCAAATGTTCAAGGTCCAAATGAGAGTTTCAGTGCTGCTTCAAAGGGCTTTAAACGACACCAGACGATGAATAAGGGTCTTATCAAGCGAAACCAACGGCCATTTAAAAAATAAATAACAAAGTTTAAGCTCAAATGCTCGCCTTGCTCTGTTCTGTGATGAGCGTTCGTGACTCTCCTGTTCGAACTCGTTCATCAAAATGAACAAATCTTTTTTCGAGTCATGACTCGAAGGGTCCTAGATAAGACCCTTATTCATCGTCTGGTGTCGTTTAAAGCCCTTTGAAACAGCACTGAAACTCTCAATTGGACCTTGAACCGTTTGGTTCCCATTGAAGTCCATTATATGGAGAAAATCCTGGAATGTTTTCATCAAAAACCTTAATTTCTTTTCGACTGAAGAAAGAAAGACGTGGATATCTTGGATGACATGGGGTGAGTCAATTATCAGCAAGTTTTTTAAAAGTGAACTACTCCTTTAAGCAATTTCAACTTTTTATATACGTGAATATAAAACGTGAAATAAAGAATAAAAAATAACACAAACAAAAACCACTCAAGGTGACCCTCCTCACGGAGGTCCCTCACCAGAAGTGCTTTCACAGACAAACATACTGAAAGGGTCAACCATTTTACAGTAGTAGGGAATTTAAATAATGTTCACATACATAATACATAACTACACCGAAAATGAAAATAATATTCAAAATACATTAACCTAAAATTATACAAGGAAAATAATACAAATACATTTCTACATACAATAAACAAACACAATAAAACATGAAACAATAACCCCCTGCTCCCATTGAGAAATGGACTATGCCTACACTACCCAGAATTCTTTGGGATGGCATAAAATGAGGAACAGGAAGGCCGCACGTCCTTTTAAACACCCACCCCCGGAAACCATGCTGCAGAGAAGGTTAGTTTTGCAAATGAGGATAAAACTAATGACTTATGTAAATACCAAATAAAGAAAATAAAGAAATAAATCTCTTGATGTTTTTTTTATTAGTCTAATGTGCACCTCAGACTAGAAAAAAGTTACCAAATAATGAGAAACAAACATTTATAGAAATAATATAAACCAAACAAACACAGGGGCCTGTAACACTGCCATCAGGGGTAAATTATGACTTTGTCACAATCCGTTATACAAGATTCAACACATTTTCTAAGTCTAATGTAATTTAAGTTGAAATGACTTAAAAAATCAAGTTGATTGCACTTAGAAAATTTAAGGCAGCAAAGAATTTGTGCAGAATTTAGACGTTGATATACACTCAATAGGGGTTTTCACATGAAGTGATGCCATAAACATTTGATTCCCCAAAGAACCTGATGTCAGTGATCAGTTCTTAAAAGAACCATTGTTTTCTTAGTGTGAAGAACATTTTAAAAAAATCGAAAGAACCTTTTTTCCACATAATAAAGTGCAATGGAAAGGTTCCTTGGATGTTATAGGTTCTCATTGGAAACAGTAAAGAACCTTTATTTGATATACTTTGTGATATAAGAGTGTATCTTTAATGAACAATATTTTTAAATCCAACCAAACATTTTGTCATGTAAATTTAAAATGGCCTCATAAAAATGAGCACAGTCTCTCACTCTTCATTGAACCCCCGTCATCTTTGGCCATATCGATATGGGGTCCACCCTTATGAGACGATGTTAACCAGAAGTGAAATCATTCAGATGTTTAAACAATGAGGTGCAGAAACAGTCAAATAATATGATTATTTTATAGGCTATTTTGCAATATGTTTTGAGGGGGATAACTTTTGTGCTTAACAGTTGAACAAAAAAATTAAATTGGAAAATACACAAATATGAATTATTAAGTGCAGTAATGTTATCCAAATTGGCATATGGAATTTTTTGGAGGTCATTGCAAAAGAGCTCCTGATGGTGGCAGGCTGGTGGCAATAAGCCATGATAGAAATGCAGACCCTAGTGAAACAAATAGAGTAGCCGTTCTTCTGTGAATTTGCAAATAAATATATATTTAAAATTATGTAATATATAACAATAGTATATGCTTTATGATTATATTCAGACAACAAGTTGTGTCCATAATGGGATGAAAGATTAATAGCCCTACTTTTAATGCATGAAGTGGGAAATGAGATTATTTGGAGGTAAAAGGCCATCTGCTTAATGTTGAGGGGTATTCTGAAAATGTTATTATTTATTTATTTCATTATATATATATATATATATATATATATATATATATATATATAGGCTATATATTAGGCTATATAATTAAGTTTAAATATTACCAGAGCCCATGCAAATAGCCTAATATAGGGATGAGGCAGCAACAGCAGGTCAAACCATTTGCGCAGGAACATGAACCTCAAATCACACACGACTCTCTTGATGTCTATCTCTAGGCAGGCAAGCATTACTGCCCGTCATCCGCAATAGATGCGCCAGAATCCTCAAATAATTACCGATGGTGTAGAGACTGAACCGCTAGAGGTCCCGCCCACTCGTTCGCTCGTGCAACCGGAGACTTCACGGAGGGTTCCGCTGCTGTCAGACTCTTGCTCAACGCTCGCCAGACTTGGATAAGAGTGGACGGAGGGACTTGGGGCCGGAGAAGGGATTCACGAGCTGATTTTTTGTTTTGGAGACACATTCGCCAGTGGATTGAGATCATCCTGTAAGGTAAATAAGTCTGCCGATGCATGCTCACTCGTTTAAATGATGACTTTGCCCTGGCGACCGCGGAAGCCACCCTTATCCCGTTATATGAACCGTATAATGTGCTTCACATGAAGCCGTTTGCACATGAAGCATCTTTAGAGTTTGGTGTTGTCATATAACCTAAGAGATCCTGATGTTTAAGCGTCTATTGCTTTATTTCTTCTTTTTGTGCTCGTGTTCTATAACGGAGCACTTCTACATCAAACATGACATAGGGAAGCTGATTTAAAGCCCACCGGAGTTCGTCACACTCGATAGATCAGCGAAAATTCGTGATGTTGCATATTTTCATCCCCCAAATTATGTATTGCGCTCTTCTGCGATATAGTATCATATTGTATCGATATTATAATGTTAATGTTTTGCATGTTCAACCTCCGAGAAACTTTGAGCTCACGTTAGTTCAGTGCAGATAAACTGATGCTCTAATGCGAGGTCGTTCCGTTTATGATTGTTAAATGACCAAAATTGTAAGTTTGCCTTATATGATCAGATTCTGGTTAAACCGGTTCATGATCTAAGTCAACTCCGTTAGATGCCCGTAGACTGCAGAAAATTTGCGTAAAATCGTTTAAATTGTTTAATTGTTATCGGTAGGCTATAACATTAATCCCGCTCAGCTGAAAAGCTCGAAAACCTTAACAATTTATGCTGCTTTTTTTCCCCGCATATTTGTTTCCTATGTTAAATAGCTAATCTTTATCGTTTTAACAAATCGCGATAAATGTAAATTTGCAATTTAGGTGGGTGTAGGCTACTATTTGAGTGATTGATTGTATTTTAGCTAGTGATTTCACTTTAGCACACAAATAAAGTACATCTCGGAGACGTCTATTTGATGTGCGTGTTTTCATCGTCTAGACGTTTAGAAAATGTATTTAATACGTTTATGGTTTAGAATGTATGTAAAACCGCTGTTCAAAAGATGTTTATCAGATGTTTATGTACACAACCGATGTTTTCCAGATAAAGCGCTCTTTAAAAGACATCTATGTGCGCTATCATTGCATGACGTTGATTTTTGTGGCAATGTGAAGACGGAAATCCACGGTAAATGCCTCGTGATTGGATGTTTTTTAACCTTTTGAAAATCATTTTCACTATGAAGAATTTTATTAAGTAAAAAAATCATGTTAAAGCAATAATTTTACATTTTTTTTTCTATTTTTAATTACATTAAACAGAACACACCTCATCTGATACGCTGTAAAATAACTATGTACGATTAGGGCTGTCTTAAGCATCCCCCTTCGTTCGATCGCGATCAGTAACGGGGCCCAGTGCGGTAGCACAGGTTGCACTGCCATAATAAAGGCCCTGTGTACAGTATTAGTAGACTACATATTTTTGTGACTAATAATTTTTAAATCGAAACTGAAGAATGAACAGGTGATGTCATTATGTACTAAATCAGGCCAAAACGAAGTTTGTTTGGAGTTTGTTTTTGAAAGTTGAATCAGCTTGCTGATTTGCTCCATCTGGTAAACAACCCTGAACAGCCATTGGTCCGCAGCGATTACATAATTGGTAGGTGTGGCTCTGAGGCTCCGCCTTTTATTATTTTTCTCCGGTTTATTTCTGACTCTGTGAGGTAAAAGGACACAAGTTGTTGTAGCTCCGCCCTCTGTGTGGGGAGCTGAAGCTCATTTGCATTTAAAGGGACAGACACAAAAACGGTGCGGTTTTGCTCACCCTCAAAAAGTGAAAACTTTAACATGCTATATTAAAATATCTGTGGGGTATTTTGAGCTAAAACTTCACATATACACTCTGGCTACATCAAAGATGTATTTTACATCTTGTGAAAAGGGCATTATACCACCCCTTTAAAGTGACAGACAAGCACACGCTTATAATAAACAGAATGTTATCATCCGCTGCTGTGGACGCTTGATGTGAACACTGTTTTTCATGTTTAATACTGTAAAGAATACTGTAGAAAGTTATTTATAGGCCTGAATAAACGAGACGTGACTAGACTGAAGTGCCGAATTGCTTTTTGTAAAAATATCCACATCGCTATGATCAGATGCTTTCTTAACTGCTGTTTTTTAACCTTTCTCATTTTTGTGGTGTTTAGTTTGTTATTAAAGGAAAGCGTGCTACGTATATTTACATATCCAAGCGGGACTCTCATCAGAATAGGTGACGTCGGGACAGTATACGGCTGAAAAGGCATTTCAAACTTATTTTTACCCCTAAGCAAAGAATGAAAAAGAGCTTAAAAGAACCATAAATAGAAGCCTGGTATACAGCCTAGGTACTTTTGAATAAGTAATTACTTTGCAATCACTATATTTGTATGGCCTATAGTATGAATGTAAATCAGATGTTCTTCATTTGTCATGCAATTATTGTCATGTGATTTACCAGCATCAGTTGCAATGCTTCACTGCCATTCACAAATCCTCTCCTGTGGCCTCATGGGATAGTAAAGTGTCCACTGGATGTGCACTTCGGAAACCCAGCGGAAGTACCAGGTCATTCAGGTAGTTTTCGCCTACTGTTTTATGAATACTGTGAATTCGGACATGCTAGTCTTTCACGTATTGTTTTTCACCCTATCATATAGTGAGTAGGATGCATATTTGGATGACTTCCGGACACTTTGGCACTGGCGTACTAAGATGTTGTTCCTTGTTAGATTGCACGAGTTCAGGTCACTGTGTTGCTGCAAGTCATTGATGGTGTGATGGGTTTAGAGGTCTGGTTTGTATCAAGACAAACCTTTCAGTGCATGCTTTAGTAGTGTGCACTGCTGTGCAGTTATTTATTATCAGGAACGTTTGAACAGGATCACGTTTACGGCTCAATCTCAAGTCAAGTTCACATAATTGATGGGTTGGATTTGTGGCATTCTGATTGACACACAGCTTAATGGTATCTACTCGCAGCAAGTGCACAGACTTCCCAGATGCCAGTGTTGCTTTTCTAGCTTGGTTTTCTCATTTGTTAAAGGAGTAGTTCACTTTAAAAAAAAAAAAACTTTTGCTGATAATTTACTCACCCCCATGTCATCCAAGATGTCCATGTCATTCTTTCTTCAGTCGAAAAGAAATTAAGGTTTTTGATGAAAACATTCCAGGATTTTCTCCATATAATGGACTTCATTGGGAACCAAACGGTTCAAGGTCCAAATGAGAGTTTAAGTGCAGCTTCAAAGGGCTTTAAACGACACCAGATGATGAAAAAAGGGTCTTATCTAGCGAAATGAAATAATTTTTTCAAAAATAAGTAAAAAAGTTTACGTTTTATAAGCGCAAATGGTCGCCTTGCTCAGTTCTGTGTGACTCTCCTGTTAGAACTCATTTATCAAAATGAACAAATCTTTTTTCGAGTCATGACTCGAAGGGGCCTAGATAAGACCCTTATTCATCGTCTGGTGTCATTTAAAGCCCTTTGAAGCTGAACTGAAACTCTCATTTGGACCTTGAACCGTTTGGTTCCCATTGAAGTCCATTATATGCAGAAAATCCTGGAATGTTTTCATCAAAAACTTTAATTTCTTTTCAACTAAAGAAAGAAAGACGTGGACATCTTGGATGACATGGGGGTGAGTAAATTATCAGCAAATGTTTTTTTTTTTTGTAAAGTTAACTACTCCTTTAAGGGGGCAACATTTGCCATGAATGACTTTGGAAATTCAGATGGTTCGGGTCGATTGATACTTCTAGCCAAGCTTGAGTTCAGATCCAACCTACTAGACGGCTTCTTCACGCCTAATGTTTATTGTAGACAGAGCGAAAACAGAGCGAATGCTGAAAATTGAGAAACAACCAACTATTACAAATTTGGTTAATATTCAAAACAACCAGTCAAGATGCAAATTAATTTTTTAAACATTGATAAATTGGGCTGTATTTCTGATTATATGTTATGTTATGATGAACCTATCTGACAAATGAATTTTCAGATATGCACACTAGTACGTTCTAGATAGCAACTCTATAATGTCAATGATTCCAGCGCTATGGGCTATACAGGCGACCCAACATTGATTTCTCACAGCAGTTGTTTATGGGACTTTATTCCTCTTTGCTGGCAGACTCGAGTCTAAATAGAAATATTTTTCATATTTAGATTAATGAACATTTTCTTTATAGATATATATGATTTAGTGCATTATCACTACACATGCAAATCTCTCTAATCCCACAGGAAAACTACATAGACTGCAACCCTAATTATCATAGATATTTAAACCATAACAAATCCATTCTCAAAATCATGTTAAACTAATCCTTATTAATGATGAAAGCTATTTTGAATGAGAGCTGCAGACAGTGAGCTGTGTTATCAAGTTGTTTGCCCTCTGGTTTCACCTTTACACTCTCAGTCATCGCTCACATCTGGCGTGTTGGAAATCTAGCGATGCCCCTTCAGCCCTTCACTGAGACACCTGCTGCTCTTTACAGCCGGAGCTTGACAGAGTCTTCTGCCGTGGCAATCTTTTGGCACCGGTGTCAGCGGAAACCTGCCCTGCTGCTCTGGTTCTGTCTGCATTTTATTTTCCAGACTCGGATGGCAGAAAATAACAATTAGAAACATTCTCTGGCTGGAAACAAACCTCTGAACTGTTGTTTTTTTTGTCACTGATTTCTCTCTTTTTAAAAACCTAGCCTTTGTTTCACCTTTCTGCTGTATTTGAGAGCATGAAATGGTTGTGAACATGGTTCAATAACAAAATATTATGTAGAGTCGAACTTATCCGTTGGGATTTCATTGGATTGAAAGATATTTGGCTGTGAAATTAGTGGTTATTATAATATTATGCAAGTCAATAGGACAATGCTGAACATCCTTCCTTGGTTTCCAGAATCATTTTGTGTAATTAACATCTAACCTCCCTTTTTTAGCATAGATGTGGAAACGCACTATGCAAACTTAAATGGTTGTAATTCACAAAGACTTTGGAATATAGACCTAAGGTTGGTCTCTTTTTAAAGAAGACAGATTGTTGC